CCAGGTCCACCCATGTTGTTGCAAATGACAGGATTTCTTTCTTTCTTATGGCTGAGTAATATTCCAGATGTGGAATACGTACTATATCTTCTTTTTGCATTCTTCTGTTGATGGACATTTAAGCTGTTTCCTTATCTTGGCTGTTAGTGATGCTACAGTGAATGAGCATGGGTGTACATCTGAGATACTGATTTCAATTCCTTTGGATACGTACCTAGGAATGGGATGGCTAGATCATATGGTAGTTCAATTTTTAAGATTTTGAGGAACCACCGTTCTGTTTTCCACATTGGCTGTACTGATTCACATTCCCACCAACAGTGTATAAATATTCCTTTTCCTCCACATCCTCACCATTTGTTAGCTTTCATCTTTTTGATAAAAGCCATCCTAACAGGTGAAGGTGATATTTTATTATGGTTTTGATTTGCATTTTCCTGATGATTATTGATGTTGAACATCTTTGCATGCACCTGTTGGCCATTTGTGTATCTTGTTTGGAAAAATATCTATTGAGGTCTTTTGTCAATTTTTAAATTAGATTATCTTCTCTTTGGCTATTGACTTGTGAATTCTTTATATATTTTTGGATTGTAGTCCCTTATCAGATGTATGGTTTGCAAATATTTTCTCCCATTCTTCAGGTTGTCTTTTTAATTTTTGGATTATTTGCTGTGCAGAAGCTTTTTAGTTTAATGTAGTCATAGTTTATTTTAGTTTTTGTTGCCTGTGCTTCTGGTGACTTACCCAAGCAATTATTTCCTAGACCAATATCAAGGATCTTTCCCTTATGTTTTCTTCTAGGAGCTTTATGGTTTTAGATCTTACATTTAAATCTTTGATCCATTTCAACTTAATTTTTGTGAGTGTAAAATAGGAGTTCGGTTTCATTCTTTTGCATGTAGAATGCATCTAGTTTTCCCAGTTACCATTTATTGAAGAAACTGTCCTTCCTATTGTGTGTTCTTGGCACCCTTGTTAGTGCACTATATGTATGGTCTGGGCTCTCCATTCTGTTCCACTTATCTATATGCCTGCTTTTATGCCAGTACCATACTGTTTTGATTACTATAACTTTGTAAGATAGCTTGAAATCAGATATTGGAATGCCACCAGCTTTGTCCTTCTTTCTTAGGATTACTTTGTGGTTACAAACAAACTTTAGAGTGATTTTCTGCTATTTCTGTGAAAAATGTCATTGGAATTGGGATTGGGATTGCATTGAACCTCTAGATCACTTTGGGTCATATGGACATTTTCACATTACTTCTTCCAACCTCGGAACACAGGATATCTTTCTATTGGCTAGAGTCTTCTTCAGTTTCTTTCATTAAAGTGTTAAAGCTCTTTGTGTATGTTTTTCACCTCCCTGATTAAACTTCCTGATTAAGACATTTTAATTTTTGATACTATTATAAATGGGTTTGTTTTCTAAATTCTCTTTCAGCTAATTCATTATTATATATTGTTAATGTATAGAAATACAACTAATTTCTGTATGTTGATTTTCTATCCTGTAATTTTATTGAATTCATTTATTAGTTCTAACAGTTTTTTAATGGTCTTTGGGGCTTTCTGTATATAAAATCATGTCATTGTTGAACAGAGATCATTTTACTTCTTCCTTTCTGATATGGATACCTTTTATTTCTTTTTCTGCCTAATTGCTCTGGCTAGAACTTCTAGTACTAGAATGCATCCTTGCATTCCAGAGATAAATCCCACTTGATCATGGCAAATGATCTGTTTAATGTACTGTTGAATTTGGATTGCTAATATTTTGTTGAGAATTTTGGCATCTATATTCATCAGGGATATTGGTCTGTAATACTATTTTCTTATAGTGTCTTTGTCTGGATTTAGTATCAGGGTACTGCTCACAAAATGAGTTTGGAAGCATTCCCTCTTCTTCAACTTTCATATATTTTCATGTTACTGATTAGCATGTTTTTATTTCAGCTTAAAGAACTCCTTTTAGCATTTCTTGTAGGGCAGGTCTAATGGCTACAAATTCTCTCACCTTTTTTTTGTCTTAGAAAGTCTTTATCTCCTTCAGTGCTATCTGACAGCTTTTCTAGTAAAGTATTCTTGATGAGAATTTTTTTCCTTTGAACACTTTGAATATATCATCTGTCAAATTTCTGCTGAGAAATCTCCTGATAGCCTGATCAGGATTCCCTCATATGTGATGATTCTTTTTTCTCTTGCTACTTTTAAAATTTCCTCTTTGTCTTTGATTTTTGAGAGCTTTCTTTTAATGCATCTCAGTGAAGATCTCTTTGGGTTGAATCTGTTTGGGGATCTTTGAGCTTCCTGTACTTAGATGGCTATATCTCTTCCCAGATTAGCGTTTTCAGATACTGTGTTTTAAAATAAGTTTTCTGGACCTTTCTCCTTCTCTTCTCCTTCTGGGACTCCCGTAATATGGATGTTGTTTCTCTTGATCATGTTCCATGGTTCATGTAGGCTTCCTTCATTCTTTTGCTCTAGTTTCTTTATTCTCCTCTGTCTGGATAATATCAAGAGATCTGTCTTGAAGGTCACAGATTCTTTCTTTTGCCTGATGGAGCCTACTGTTGAAGCTATCACATTTTTTCATTTCATTCATTGTATTCTTCATCTCCAGAATTTCTGATTGGTTGTTTTTATGATTTCTATTTCTTTGTTGAATTTCCCGTTTTGTTTGTATATTGTTTCCTGAGTTCCTTAGTTTATCTATTTGTGTTCTCTTGAATATTGCTGAGCTGCCTTCAAATCATTCTTTTGAATTATTTTTCAGATAACACAGATCTCCACTTCCTTAGGATCAGTTACTGGAGTAATATTGCGTTCCTTTGGTGATGTCATCTTTCCTTGCTTTTTCATGTTTCTGATGGATCTCTGTTGATGCCTGTGCATTAGAAGGTGTAGTAACCTCTTCCAGTCTTTTCAGACTGGCTCCAGTAGGGAAAGACTTCCCCCCAGAGGTGGATGTAGGAGCACCTGCTGGGTGGGATGCAGTGTCTTTGATTCCTGAGGAAGCACAGTGATGTAGTCTCCATGCCACTCCATTGGCTGATGCTGAAATTGGCCACACTGTTATGGCTAAGGCTACAGAGGACCTGCAGGTTGCAGTGGCAGGTAGGGCTACTAGGATTTTCAGAGGCTGAGGCTGCTGGGGTCTTCTTGCTCTCCTCTTCTTTTTTTGCACATAGGAGGAAGCTCTAGCTGAGGAGACCCCTCTTAGTGCCTGGTCTGATGTGCTGACACTGAGAGGAGTTTTGGAACTGGGGTCCTAGGATCAGGCACACATGGAACTATCACAGTGCCAGGGTCATGGAGCATAGGTGCCCTTGCTGTGACTGCGACACGGGTGTCTAGAATGCGGACATGTGCCGATGGAACTGGTACCCGGGTCTCAAGGGCTCACTGCTGTGACTTGTGCTGGTGTCACTGTACAGCAGTGACAAGGGTCTTGGGATGACGGTGCAGTGGTGGCTTGGGCCCAGAAGGCAGAGTGCAGTAGTAGCACAACCTGGCGATGGTGGGTCAGTCTCAACTCTAGCCCCCTGGGAACACACACAGGAGAATAGTCCAACTCCAGTAGTTTGTTAAAGCTATGAGTTGGGATTCAGGGAACTGGGCACAGAGTAGTGGCAGCAAGGCCCTAGTAACGACAATTCAGAGGTGCCACCTGGCATGGCGAGGGAGAGGTGAGGTTCAGGGCAGGGGCAGTATGTCTGGCAGTCAGAACCAGGACTGGGACCTTTGAGGCAGGACTCAGGGCAGTAAGAACTCATCTCAGCAATGACAGTTCTGAGTCTTGACCTGGCATGGGGGTTGGGGCACAAGACAATAGCACAGCCCCAATAATGGCAGCCAAAGCATGACTTGGGACCCTGGAGGCAGGACTCTGGTCAGGGAAGTTGCCTTGTTAATGGTGGAGCAAGGCCCCATCCTGGGGCTGTGGGTAGGCAAAGAGCGGTCGCACCTCTGGTCTCATATATGGTAATGGACTGTGGTACTCAGTCCATGAGAGTGGGGCACAGAAACACTGGGCCCCCTCAGGGCAGGTCTCACCTCAGCAACAGCCCCAGCCTCTGGGAGCAGTCCAGAGGAGGTTGGGGCACCACAGGCCACTCCATCAGCTAGGGTCAGCATCACTGAAGACTGAGAGCCCTCTGTACCAAAAGCTGCAGACAACCGAAATGGTGAGGCTTGCTGTGGTCCTGCTGCTCTCCTTCTCCCCGTGTCATGGACTTCCTCTGAGAGGATCCCTCCTGGTGCCCAGCAGCTCTTAACTGGGAGATGGGACGATGTGGGCAGAATACTTCCTTTACTTTCCTACGCGGCCATCCTTGACTGGTGAGCTCCGCTGGGGTTTTTTTGCTGCTGCTTCTGTGTCGTTTAGAGCTTTCCCTGAACTGTTTTCTTCCATTTGTAGCTGTTCATTGCTCTTGGGGTTTTTTCTGTTTGTTTATTTTGGGGGGAGTAGGTAAGCGTTGGGACCTCCCAGCCCTCCATCTTGCTGACGTCATTCCTGAGTCCCTCCTGCCGCAGATGAAGCAAACAAGGCCCTAGGAGATAAGATGTTTTGCTCAATACACTACCCATTTGAGACTGGAAAGTGCATTGTGATGCTTCTGATTCTTCTAGGTGCAAAAGCAACAAACCAATTTTAGACTGAATATGAAGTGTATTTTTGAACATTTATTTATATCTTGGTCCTGTTGTCTCAAAATATTTTCAGTCCCCCCTGGTTCATGAATAAAAGTCCTTATTTGAATACAAAATATTAGTGTATTCTTGCTGAGAAGCCATCATGGGAAGTTATAGAAGTGACAAATACATTAATTGAACATGATAGGGTTCTAATGAAATAAATAATTCTTGAAAGTGCTCTATGAAGTAGGCAGTTGCGTGTTTTCAGTATTCAACCCCAGATAATTCACATTTTGCTGTTTTTTTGTACATTTCTGATTTCTATGCATTTTTAATTTCTCTTCTTTATTTTTTTGTAGACAAGATAACCAGAACATTACAAATAATACTGGAAGTTGTACCAGAAGAAGATTGCCAAAAATTATGAATTAATGCATTTGAAATCTTGGCAATCTCTCCTTGGCCTTGTTTCTGCCCAAAGAGCTGAAACAAACAAAATAAAATGGAACTTCACTCCATTTTATGAAAATCCAGAGGATTGCAACTTTGGGAATGGACTAAATTAGTTATTTCTGTCTTCTAGTGTATTCAAACTAGCTGGTTTCTAAGAAATTTAGTTTTAACTCTGTGTAGTTATAGAATGCTGATAGGCAGTTATACCACAAGTTCACATGACTTTTGTGTCCCTGATACCTACCAGTTGAGGTCAGGGAAAAAGACTAGAGAATGGACAATTACTTTAGGGATCTTTCCCTGTGAATGTCTTACGGCTAAGAACCTTCAAACTAAAGACTGAGATGTTTTCTATATATATGGGTTTTGTAAAAACAATTTTTATATACTGTCGATAACTGTACTGTGAAAAGTGTTTTCTCTTCTTATGGGGAAAAAAAGTGTATGTCATCATTACAGACAGAGGAAAGAAAGAAATTTGTTTTACATTGACATTCCATTGTTTCCCACAGATACCAACTTAGATACTACTCATCTTTTAATATTATTATACCCAGAGCACTTTGAATGAAGAACAGAGAGGGTATGCTAAATTTTAATTAATGTATATTAAAGCCAAGTTTCTAGGGGCTATTGTTGATGAGGAAAATCCAGGAATTACGTTTAAGTAAACAAGTTTTTGAGAATTTATGTTAGGTTTTCTTCACTCATCATCAGAAACCTCTGTGGTTACGTGCTCTTTTGATTTCACAGCCACTGATTTGATCAGGAAAGGATGTATAACACCTTTTTGAGAGCAAAGCCATAGTCAATTTGGAATTAAAGCCTCTTAAGCACAATTCAGTGGTTTCACTAATAATTTACCCTTTGGTAAATATATCTAAATATGTGCATTTAAAAGTTTTCAAGTTATGATATCAATATAAGACAGAAAATCACCAAGAAACAGAATCCTCAACATATTATGCCTAGCTCTGTAGTTCTATATGCAATGTTAGTGATTCTGAACAGTTTTTTAGTTTCATAGCTATTTTTGCATGGTGATGAATTTTGACAGTTTGTACATTTTCTTTATACATTTTATACTGTGTTAAAATATCTCTTTGGATAATACTGTCCATATCAATTAGGAAAAGGCATATATTTACATAAAAATTAAGGAAGAAATGTCACTGCTAAGTAAGATTTACAACTGTTTCTAAAAATTTTACCACTACTGTATCTAGGCTTTGTCAGTAATTGCCTCACCTTAATTATCATTTAAATTGTAAAAGAGGTAACTGATAACAAGTTCTCTGAAAGAAGGAGAAACTCTGCATGAAGTGTGTGTATTCAGACGGGTATTATTATGTTAGGCTTAGAAAATATTGTGGAATTTCCAAATAAGAATAATATAATGATGAAATTTGTTAACTATTATTTACATAAATGTCATATTAAATAGTTAATTATAGCCAGAGTATTTTTCATCCTTTAATTTTTGTCTATTTGAAAAAAGAATTTTCGGAAGAATTACACTGATTAAAATCATTAAGAGCAGATATAGAGTTCGTAAACAATTGATCAAAGTAGAAATGATGATAATTTGAGTCAATTCCAATTAATTAATTTTCAATTCATTAATTTCAATTTCAAAATTCTATTTAGTTAATTTCAATTTATTATATATCCAAGATTGAAAATTTTTCAGCCAAACCTTACCTCTGGCTCTTTAAGTGAACTCATAAAAATTCCTTCCTTTTTCTTCTACCTTGGGTTTTCATAGGGTTTTCAAAATTTGATCTGTAATCTATACTTCATATATCCACTTGTATATATCTGTCTCCACTAAATTAATTTGTTGCTAGAGGTAAAAATAGATTTCCTTTATATTCCTATTTTTTATAGTCTAGACCTATATAATCTAAATCAGCACACTCTTCTGGAGTTTTTTTCTTTTCTAATGAAAAAAAAAAAAAGGTGAAGTCTCATGGAGAAGTGTGTATAGTTCTTGCTTACTCCAGAGGTTAATGTGCTTATATCAAAGTAGCAAATAGGTCTCCTCATTTTATTTATTTGTTTAGTTTTGTTTTTAATTTCTTTTTAAATATATCACTATACAAGCTCACTAGGTTACATATTCCTTGTTATTTTCATGATTTTTAGAATAATTTTTACATTGTTAAATTTGTAATGCCATTGTAATACTACTTTAACCAGATGGAAAGTCAGTCAGTAATTTTTTTTTAAGTGGTGAGGATTAAGTTGCATTTCAACTTATTTTTGGGTTACATAATGACAAGATATAGGGTTTATGTAATCACCGAACTGATACTCATAACATTTATTTGGAATGGTATTATGTCAAGCAGATTCCAGTTTGAAAACTTTCCTGCACATTTTTACACATATGTGTATTTTTATACTAAGAAACTTTTTTCTCATATATTTAGAAAATTTTTTCTCATATATATTTTTTCATATATTGAACTACTACATGTGAT